ACTGACAGAGACTGACCAAGGGAGAGATCTTGGAGTCATCGTAGATAACTCACTGAAAATGTCTAGACAGTGTGCAACTTCAATAAAAAAGGCCAATGCTATGTGTGACCTCATTTGGAATACTGTGTACAGTTCTGGTCACCACACCTCAAAAACGATATTATAGCTTTGGAAAAAGTGCAGAAAAGGGCAACTAGAATGATCAAAGAGTTGGAGAACTTTCCCTATGAGGAAAGGTCGAGGTGCTTGGGGCTCTTTAGCTTGGAGAAATGATGGCTGAGGGGTGACATGATCGAAGTTTATAAGATTATGCATTGGATAGAGCAGGTAGACAAAGAGGTACTTTTCTCCCTTTCTCACAATACAAGAACTCGTGGGCATTCAATGACGTTGCTGAGCGGTTGGGTTAGAACGGATAAAAGGAAGTCCTTCTTCACCCAAAGAGTGATTAACACATGGAATTCACTGCCACAGGAGGTGGCGGCGGCTACAAGCATGGATGGCTTCAAGAGGGAATTAGATAAACATATGGAGCAGAGATCTATCAGTGGCTATATAGATAGGGACTATGAGGAAAGGGATGCACCTGGTATTTTTGGCCACTGTGTGACACAGAGTGTGGGTCTGGATGGGCCATTGGCCCGATCCAACTGTCGGGGCAGGCATGACACCAACATTGGCTTCTCTTATATTCTTATGTTCTTATGTTCTATGACTCCATAGAGAAGGGCCATAGTTCTCAAACAAAACCAGGTTATTTACAATATGAGCTTCTTAAGGACTGAAAGCCCTTTTGCACTTACAAATCTTTTAGGATAAAAACATAACATTTCCATATTCAGCACAGAATACTTCAATGCAAACCTAGTGCACTAGTGTGAAAGACAGAGCGCCCTGGTCTAGTCAACAAGAGCTCACAGAGAGCTGATTGAAGACCAGCCCAGAGCAAAGAAGTCTTCAGCAGTTTATACCCTCAGTACCCAAAGGTTCAGCCCACATGGAGTAACACACTTTTCACAGAAGAATATCAAAATAAAAACAACAATTTTCTCCTTGAATTCATACCCAAGTTACGCTAGACAGTCAAGGGTGTTATGTCTGAAGTTTATTGTGACCTTATTGGAAGCACAGACACCTGCTTCAGCAAGTATGTTGCTGATCAGAAACTACAAACCTTCTCACTTGGAGTCTTTGAGAGAGTATGAGGGTGAAATGGTAGACCTAGAGAAATGAAAACCATTCTTTTGGGAGCAGAGTGCCTTGTCAGGCTAGAGAGAGGCTTGAGAGATGACAGTAGCTAAGCCTGCAAAGCCTTATGGGAGAGGAACCCGACAGAGAGGCCTCAGCTAATCCTGGCTGTTATACAGAAATGCCCCAGGATCGCTGATTTTTCTGCCACAATGAGATGAGCAGGGGGGACAGCCTGGGTCCCTCTTCCTTTCTCAGGGGTGCTATTGCTCCTGCAGTTTCTTACAAGGCATCTGGGCGAGAGATCCCCTGATGCCATTCCCTTTACCCAACCTGAGCCTGACATCCTGTTCCTTCCAGACTGCTCCTTTCCAGTGTGCAGTCTCTACCTGGCATGATCTGTGAGGAGGGAATCCGCTTTTTCTTTCAGGGTCCCTTTTCCTTTGAGGAGGTGTCCATCGATTTCACTGAGGCAGAATGGGCTCTGCTGGATCCGGGACAAAGAGCTCTGTACAGGGAAGTCATGCTGGAGAACTACGAGAATGTGGCCTTTCTGGGTAAGGATCTTTCCGTGGTGCCAAAGGTGCAAATCACTGCCATTGTAAGGAGGCATGAATCAAAATACTGAATAGCTATTCCCAGTGTTGAGGCCTGTCCCACTACTTCGGGGGGGGGGGGCTCTCTTGCAGAGCATCTGCTTGGCATGTAGAAGGTCCCCAGTTCAATCCCCAGCATTTCCAGTAAAAAGGATCAGGTAGGAGGTGATGTGAAAGACTTTTGCCTGAGACCCTGGGGACCTGCTGCCAGACTCAGTAGACACCACTGACTTCTATTGACCAAAGGGTCAGATTCAGTATGAAGCAGCTTCATGTGTTCCTGGGTGTGTTCTTGCCCTGGGGCAACAGAGGCCAGTGTTGTGGCCATCACCCAAGCCAGAGAAGGTGTCCTGGCCTGAGGCAGAGGTAGGGATGAGAGGCCCTCAGAAAGATTCTGGAAGGGGCCGGATCCTCATTTCTCTGTTGCCAGCCTTTACAACACTCCCTTTCTCATGAATGGGATTCCAGACACCCGCTCTGCCTGTGATCTGGAAACGATCCTGTCAAACATAATAAGAGCAGCCCTAATGAAAACCTGGAATATCATAAAAAATAAATTTTATAATAAGACCCCTCTATGGATTTCCTCTCTGGAAGCCTTCATTAAACCATCAGTAATGATAGGCAACTCCAAACTAACATACAGCACCCTCCTAAATGAAAAAATGGAACTCAAAAAAGAAGAAGCACTAAGAAAAGAAAATATTAAAACAACTTGGTGGGATTATAATATAATCAACACTCGATACGCGATTGATAAAAAAACAGGGTTCTATACAACTCAAAATGAAATAGATAAAATATGGCTCTCGTCTAACGATAAATTAATCCAGAAACTGTACTCTAAACTATTGGAGGAAGCATTAGAAAAAGATACCATTAAAAAATCAATGATGATATGGGATAAAGAGATAGGAACCCCCTTAAATATAGCTCAATGGAATAAAACGTGGAGGTCAATAAAATATATGAAAGCAATCCCCTATAAAGAAAACATCTATAAAATGTTTTACAGGTGGCATTGGACCCCTGAAAAAATAGCCAAATGTTTCCCACAATCATCGAACTTATGTTGGAGATGTGGGAAAAATGTAGGGACATATCTCCATATTTGGTGGAGATGTGAGAAAATACAAAAATTTTGGGAAAAAATACATAAAATTATACGAGAAGTTTTTAAACTAAATATACCTATGAAACCCGAAACATATTTATTAAACATGATCCCGGATAACATAAAAAATCATAAGGTAATAATAATATATATATTAACAGCAGCAAGAATACTCATAGCAAGACGTTGGAAATCAAAACATATACCATCGATAAAAGAACTTAAATACAAGATGTTAGAAATCGCAGAATTGGATAAACTGAGCCTAGAACTGAAAAACGAACCAGAGAATCTATTTTGGAAAAGATGGAAACATATATATGACTGGCTAAAATATAAGAGAAGAATTGGTGGATAAAATGCTAGTGTAAATATTATAAATTAAGAACAAATTATATGGAGATGTGTAAAAATGTGATGAACTTTTATAAGTTAGATATGATAATTTGAAGCTAACAACTTTATGAAGATGTATAAATGACTAATGAATTATCATATGCTTTATACATAGAAAATATGGATTGTAAAGGTGAAAACTTGGAAAATAAATTTATATATAAAAAAAGAACTGAAGCCTGTGTTTGTACCTGAGCAGCACCCAGTTCAGTGGTGTTCAGGAGAAGAGAGCACAGAAGTAAAGCAGACCCCTTTTAAATATATATAATGGTTTGTTAAGGATTTAAAAATAAAACATCATTAAAAAGCAAAGTTTCTGCAGCTCAGGAACAAAAAATAAGAAAAGTGAACTGTTCTATTTAATACATGCAATACTTGGTATTAGGTGGCATCTCTTGTTGCAGCATAAGTATTCCAGCTGTAGCCTAAGTTACTTTACAGAAAACTATTCATCATGATGCAGCAAGAAAATATTGTGGCATACTAGCATGGTATGAGCATAAATTTAATCCGGCTTCCCTCTTCTCTATACGTGTATTGTACTTTATACCTCCTAGGGTCAGGTAGGTGGTCCTAACAACCCAATCAAGGGTCCTCCTTGATGGAATTTTTCAGACGCTGTCAGCACCCTCCTAATCCCCCTTCCCTCCTGGCTACACAACTAGATGCCTGAAAGTGAGACCAGGCCACTTAATAGTAAGCCTTGACGGAACTAGGATGCTTTGCCTCACAGATCTGTTCACCTTATAGTGGTTGGGATTGTGGGCTTTGATCTTGACCATGGTTTTATCCTTCCAGAATAATTTTTATTCTTGAATGTCTTTCCTTCCCCATATAAGAATGATCACTTCCTCTCTCTGTCTCTGCGAACGCAGGCATGAGTATAGGAGAGACTACGGTGGAGATAGACAGCGGCCTTGCATCTAAAGAAAGGCTGACGATTTCCTCAAGAGGATCCCAAGGATATATTTCCTTCCCAAATGAGCTGGCTGAAAGTGAGTATCTTTCAGGGCTCGGTCAAGGGAAAAGGCAAGGACGTGCCACGGGGGATTCCCGATTCACTTTTGAGAGCCATTTCATACAGTTATACAACCTGCTGAGGAAGGAGGGAGGGGCTGAAATCTGGCTCAGAAGGTATTTGTGGGCAAGAGCTTACCTGTGGAACTTGAGGGGGTGAGATATCGTTAATACTGGATATTCTGGGGAAAGATGGAGGGTGGTTAAGATCAGCCAAGGTGGATAAGGCCGAACGCCTGTTGTCAATCCTTTTCTACTGCAGTCACATAGATACATTTGGACATTCTCAGCCCTCCCAGGTGCTAACAGGATCTCTGTCTTTATTCCAGCAGAGGTTGATCAGAGGAATGAAGTGGGTGAGGAAGTTCATCAGCAAATGCCAGATGAAGTTAAAAACGTAGACTTGAAAGAAAACGTCAGGAATCAAGAAAGACCGATGAGAAAGAAAGGCGGCCATATGGTTGAGAAGAGAGATGGAAGACAGCATAATGTAGCTATTCCAAAGCACAGGATAATAAAAGCAAGTAAATCCATTAGGTGTAAAAAGTACTTCAGAACTAGATCACAGCTCTTTGTATGCCAAAGAATAAGTTTCGAGTGCTCAGAGTGTGGAAAGAGATGCAGTGTGAGTGGGAATCTTCATAAGCATCTGACAACCCGCAGAGGGAAGAAACCTTTGAAATGTTCAGCATGCAGAAAGAGATTCAGTCGAAGTGGCAGTCTTCAACTGCATCAGAGAACCCACACAGAGGAGAAACCTTTTGAATGCTCAGAGTGTGGAAAGAGATTCAGTCAGAGTGGCCATCTTCAATTGCATCAGAGAACCCACACAGGGGAGAAACCTTTTGAATGCTCAGAGTGTGGAAAGAGATTCAATCGAAGTAGCAATCTTCAGCAACATCAAAGAACTCACACAGGAGAGAAACCTTTTGAATGCTCAGAATGTGGAAGGAGATTCAGTCAGACTGCCCATCTTCAACAGCATCAGAGAACCCACACAGGGGAGAAACCTTTCGAATGCTCAGAATGCGGAAAGACATTCAGTATGAGTAGCAATCTTCAACAACATCAGAGAACCCACACAGGGGAGAAACCTTTCGAATGCTCAGAATGCGGAAAGACATTCAGTATGAGTAGCAATCTTCAACAACATCAGAGAACCCACACAGGGGAGAAACCTTTTAAATGCTCAGAGTGTGGAAATAGATTCAGTCAGAATGCCTATCTTCAACAGCATCAGAGAACCCACACAGGGGAGAAACCTTTTGAATGCTCAGAGTGTGGAAATAGATTCAGTCAGATTGCCTATCTTCAACAGCATCAGAGAACCCACACAGAGGAGAAACCTTTTGAATGCTCAGAGTGTGGAAAGACATTCAGTATGAGTAGCAATCTTCAATTACATCGAAGAACCCACACAGGGGAGAAACCTTTTGAATGCTCAGACTGCGGAAAGAGATTCAGTATGAGTAGCAATCTTCAAACACATCGAAGAACCCACACAGGGGAGAAACCTTTTGAATGCTCAGAGTGTGGAAAAAGATTCAGTATGAGTAGCAATCTTCAACAACATCAGAGAACCCACACAGGGGACAAACCTTTTGAATGCTCAGAGTGTGGAAAGAGATTCGGTCAGATTGCCTATCTTCAACGGCATCAGAGAACCCACACAGGGGAGATACCTTTTGAATGCCCAGAGTGTGGAAAGAGATTCAGTCAGATTGCCTATCTTCAACGTCATCAGAGAACCCACACAGGGGAGATATTTGAATGCTCAGAGTGTGGAAAGAGATTTGGTCAGATTGCCTATCTTCAACGGCATCAGAGAACCCACACAGGAGAGAAACCTTTTGAATGCTCAGAGTGTGGAAAGAGATTTGGTCAGATTGCCTATCTTCAGCAGCATCAGAGAACCCACACAGGGGAGAAACCTTTTGAATGCTCGGAATGTGGAAAGAGATTCAGTCGGAGTGGCCATCTTCAGCAGCATCAGAGAACCCATACAGGGAAGAAATCTTTTGAATGCTCAGGGTTTGGAAAGAGATTCAGTCAGAGTGGCAGTCTTCAACAGCATCAGAGAACCCACGAAGCAGAGGAAGCTTTTGACAGCTCAAAGTGTGAAAAGAAATTGAGTATCAGTGGCAATCAACTTCATATAAGAACCCACACAGAGGAGAAACCTTTTGAATGCTCAAAGTGAGGAAAGGGATTTACTCAGAGTTACATTCTTCTGCAACAAGGAACCCACACAAGGAGAAATGGAACTGTGTAGCCGTGAAAAGAGCTTTTCTCCTATTTCATAACTAAAAGAAAACACCAGATCATATAAATTATTGAAAATTTTTAAAAATGCTGTAAGAAGCTTGAATCTACACTGAAATTTTATGCTACTCTGGAAGAAATGTTATAAATACTCAGAGTGTGGAAAGAGCTTTTGCCGTGTTCAAAACCTCAAAAAGATCTGACAGGGAAGAAAGCAAGAATGGGCAATGGTTTCTGCTGCATGAAGAATTAGCTGATGTCTCCTTTAACAACGAGGACTCCTTCCAGGGAATTAACCTTCTCAGTCCTCAATGTGTGGCAAGAGCCTGAGACACAGGTCCGATCTTCATGTTCCTCGAGAATCCATTACAACATAAAGCACAGTAACAAAGACAAGAAGGCGAATTTGTGTATATTAAGCTGTTAGCTGGCAGAAAAGTTTATTAAAAAGAACCCCCAGGGATATTTTCATCCCGGAAAGAAAAGTAAAAGCGGCTAAGAAGAGGAACGGAGCAGAAGGTAAATGAAAATTGTATGGGGGCATGAGAATGCATTTGTCGGGACTTTAATTTTTGACACAGTAATATGGCATTACTACCCTGGATAAAGATGCTAGAATTATAATGACCAATGATTATTGAGACGGTTTTTAACTGAATGATAGACTAAAATGGCGCCGGCGGGGGAGAAAGAAGACATGCTAATAGGGGAAAACGAGGAAGGAGAAGACGTTTTCAGTGGCGGCTCCGACCAGGTGGAATGAGCTCCCAGAGGACCTTGTACAGTTCCGCGGGGCCTGTAAAACGGAGCTCTTCCGCCAGGCTGTTGAGTAGGAGCCACCGCCACCATTATTCCACCAACGTCTTTTCATCACCGCACTCTACTACCGCAGGTACGGGAATCATCGAGGGTGCGGGATGTCCCTAGTGGACAACAGGGTTGTGGGGACATATATTGTTGCTGTTGTTTAGCTAAAACATCTTCAGAATATCATCTTGGTTTTATGATTCGGAGTATCGGAGCGCCAAAAACTTATTTTTACTAATTTTAATTAACTGTAATACTTGTATTATTGTATTTCATACTGCTTTTATTGTTACAATTTTGCATTTTACCCTTGTTAGCCACCCTGAGCCTTCAGGGAGGACGGGATACAAATCCAAATAATAAATAAATAAATAAAATTGATAATATAGAAATTGGACAGCTTACTATAGAGCAATTTAAGAAAAATTCTTTTGGATGAGATTCGGCAAGCGGTCAAAACAACATGTAAAGGCTTTCTGGAAAATCCTCGGAGTTTGTATCGGGAAGTGAGAGATTAAGAGGAGTCATGGCAGTCTCAACAGAGAAAGGAAGAGGAGCTGATTTGCAGTCGAGATGCTCCCGAAGAGAAGGTATCACAAGAGGTATTTTCTTCACGTATAAAAAAAAGGGGAGCCAAGGATATGGATTAAAGAGCTCTTTAAGACACTCTTTAGTGTTGAAAGTGGACAAAGGAGGAGTCAGAAAACGTTCATATATAGAAATGACGAAGGAGGCTAAGAAAAGAGCAAGACGTGTGGTGAAAAAAAGCAACAGATGTAGCAGAAAATTGAGGTTTGACCCAAAGATACTGAGATGCCAATCTAGGGAAATAGAACTCTTTGAATATAAAGAGATAAGGCATTTAAGTACGATTGTAAAAAAAAAGTGTTGCTGAAAACAAAAAAAATAAAGTGTATTATGCTGTAGAATAACCTCTTTTGCTGGTATAATGGAAGAAATGAAGAGACTCTTAATAGGATGAGATGAGGGCAAATGAGAATGGTGCTTTGGTATCTTTTTTGTTGGGTACTGAATTGCTGTTGTTAATTACCAATTTTATTTCCACCTATGTAATTTATGAACTTAATCTGTGGTTATAAAACATGTTTAAATTATTATCAGTTGGGAGATACTAGTAAGGCTAATATTTAAGTATTTAACAAGTAGATAGTGCAGGAGGGAAAGAAGTATTTTTACTAATTTTATTTAACTGTAATATTCTGTATTTTTCTATTTTATATTGTTTTTATTGTTATAATCCAGCATTTTGCCCTTGTTAGCCGCCCTGAGCCTTCGGGGAGGGCGGGATACAAATCCAAAGAATAAATAAATAAATAAGAAGTATGAAATTACCTGAATAGAAGGTTACTCTCAAGTGATAAAATAATAAAAGAGATGTTATAATTAATGTTTTTGGGATACTAAGGAAATAGAAAAACTGGAGAAATGATATTCCAGTGGCTGTTTTAAACTGCTGTTTTTAATTATTTCTCTTATTTGTATTTTTCTTATAATGTAGTTGCAAAACATGGTAAAAGTATTGTTGAAGAAATAATAAGTCAATAACACAGGAGGGACCATAATTGAAAATATGAAGCTACCTGAATAGAAAAGTAATTTCTAATTGATTAGACAATAAATGGGATATGGAAAAATGGATTAATCATGAGAATATTTGTTTAACTTATTTTGTTATATTTTTTGTTAAACCAAACAAGTAAGGAAATAAATGTTGCTTTTTGTGACTTTATGGTACAACCTTAGTGGAAGAGTAATAGTAATAATATAAATGTAAACTTAGATATGATCATGGGAAAAGGTAATGCCGACGATTTTTGCTTTTTATGGCCAGATTATAGGGGGGTTTTCAGGTTACTATATATCTACAGAAAACAAGTGTGTAATTATCATCAAAGTTATTGTGTTAAAATGAAGGAAAATATTAAATTGATATTATTGTCGGAATATTGTGGGTAAGGATCAGCGATGTGGCACACCAATCTTGGTTCTGAGCCACATCCAGACTCTGTAAACATAGGGTTGATCGGTGACTTTGGTACACTAAGAGTCCTGACCTTTGCACATCCTGAAACTGCAAGCAAGTCTTAAGATACTGTGCAAGCATTTTAGGCATTCTGTCTAAGTATCTGTTTTTCCCTGTTTCTGTATGTGCAAGCCAACAGCCTTACCTCACGGTGGGGGAGGGGGGGAAGAATGTGTATAATTAAACTCTTGCTGCTTTTAAGCGGCAGACAGATTCTTCTCCCTCAAAGATCGTGTCTCGTGTGAGTCCTTCATGTGGCGCCCAACGTGGGGCTTGAAGGAGCACACCGTGGCTCACCAGCACCTGGAACAGGCCCCTTGAGTGCACTCTGTCACGTCCGCCGCGGCCCGTTCACTGGTGAGTACGGGTGGTGATCTAACACTCCCTCAGAGAAAACATGCAGAAGAACTTCATTATTTGATTCAGAGATCCGGCGGGTCCGCATCTCTGCGGCAAGAAAAGGGTTTGTTAGGAGAAATCCACAGGCAATGTCCCTCCTACCCAGAAGAGGGGTCCTTGAGACTCCGGGATTGGGAAAAAGTGGGGAAGGTTTTACATTGTCCCCCAAGAGCTCCTGTAGAGCTGCTTCATTTCTGGCATCAATGTTGACATGCGGTTGAAACTTTTGCACCCACTAAGCCGAGGACGTGGGTATTTCAGAAACTTGGTGGGATGAGGAAAATCAGTGGGATACGGTGATTCCCGGTTATATATTATATCTGAAGGATAGAGGGGAAGGGTTGGAGGTGGGGTGGCTCTGTATGTCAGAGAGGGTATAAAGTCCAGAAAGATTGACAGGCTAAGAGAAAAGGATTAGCTTCTGGAAACTCTATGGGTTGAAATAGGGGGGCCAAAAGGAAACTTAACACTGGGAGTTTATCGCCCACCAGATCAAAAGATAGAGGAGGATTATAAAATGATGAATGAATTAAAGATAGCAGCTAGACAAAAACACTGTGTCGTAATAGGTGATTTTAACTACCCACACATTGATTGGGTCAATATGTGTTCTAGCTGAGAAAAAGAGATTGAGTTTCTAGA